GGGGGATTTTCTTAGGGGGCCAAAGAGAGCCTCGCAGGTGGGGGGTCGAGTACCATATTCCCACCTCCCGGGGTTGGATGGCGGCCCCCCCCCCCTTGGATAAAGCAGCGTTGTTGTTTTGGCCTTACGGGGGGGGTTCGCGAAAGAGGGGACCCCCCCCCCCCCCCCCCCTCCCGTCCCTCCCCCTCCTCCCCCCCACACACCTTTACCCCACACACACACACACACACCTTTACCCCCCCCCCCCCTCCTCCTCCCCTCGCAGCTCAAGGACGTGCGCGGAAACTTCAAGGATGAGGACGACACCGACGGCACCTTCGACCCGGCGGTGAGTCGCAGACGAGCTCATGAGAGTTGTGCACCACCGCGAGATTGCCCAACCCTTCCTGCTGCAAAGGGGTTGACACGCCCCAACCCCCCCTCCCCGAGTCGTCAACGATGGGCCGGTGGCCCAGTGCGCGCTTGTGAGAGGACGCGGTCCCTGAGGGAGATGGCATTCACGCCACCTTCCGCCGCTCCCAATTCTTTTTTGTGGGCTTGTTAGGATGCGTCCCTGTGGGTCGTCGCCAACTCCAAGGAGGACGAAACGCCGAAGCCGCCGACGCGCTGGAACCTCGAGGCGACCGCCACTGATTGCGTAATTCAGTGTACAGTAGTCCGACTCGCGAGTGTGTAGTCCAATACCCTCCAAGGGACCCTCGAGGCGGCGTGTGAATTCACTCCACCTGGGGTCCTGATCGCTCATCGACGTCCGACGCCCCTTTGAGCCCTCGAATCCCCCCCCCCCCCCCCACACGATTTAACTAAGTTAGTCCCCCCTCCCCCCTCCCCGCCCGCCCCTTTCTGCCCTCGAGCCCTTCTGGCGCCTGCCCTCGAGGCGACGCTCTGCCCTTGAGGTTCATTCATTCGTTCGCTGCACTCACCCAATTCACTCTTCCTCTCCTCGCTGCCCTCTCGAGGCGACCGTCGGCTATACTCTTCACAGCTGTACTGTTCACAGCTATACTATTCACAGCTGCCCTCTCGAGGCGACCGTCGGC